TTAAAGCACACCAAGATGAGGATGAAGTTGTCATTCTTACCATGACACTCTTCACATAGCCAGCAGTTTCCAGGGTCTAATGAAAAAGAATGAAGTAATGCCCATAAGTGTACAGTCTTAAAAAAGGTATTTTCTTGTTATGTTTTCAGCATTTTCTCTTTCCAAAGCCCCAAAGAGAACACTGCAGAAGACCCCCTGCATGCATGGCCCTGCTGAGCTCTGCCAGCCTCTCCGGGGTGTGGGCTCTGCCAGCAGTGCCTCTGCCAGAGGGGCTGCAGTGCTGCTGTCACACCAGTGCAGTGCAGATCCAAAGGATGTTTCTAAACACTGCCACAGATCACTTGCATTCAGTTCAGTCACTACTACTCATAGCAATGCTGGCCATGTCCCCCTGGTGCAGGCTCTGCCCACAGAACCCCAGGCACCCCTTGCTCAGGCTTCCTGTTCTCCTGCTGCAGCCTTGGTTGACCTCACGTGAAGGTGCAGAATGATATCCTACCTTGGAGAGTTCATCAATGATATTTTGCTGTTCAATAACTTGTAGCCTCAGGAAATCAACTTCTCTTTCTTCCTGGCTGTGGTCAAGGTCATTTAAAGAGCTCGGTCTCCTTATTGTTCCAGCTCTTTGCCTCTAAAAGAAACCCACACAGCAGAAGAACAAAGGATCAGAAAGCTTTGCCAGAGGACAGTACACAACCCTTCCCTTCCAGCTGGTGATACCTCTCTCCTAATGGGTGTCTTGGCAGCTGTCCTGCTTCACTTCTGCTGAGCGTTACATCCCCAGCTGGCCAAGGAGGCCACCAGCAGCCTGGCTTGGATCAGCACTGGTGTGGCCAGCAGGACTAGGGCAGGATCATCCCCTTGGACTCAGCACTGGGGAGTCCACCCCTTGAATCCTGGGGTCAGTTTTGGGCCCCTCACTCCCAGCAGGACCTTGAGGGGCTGGAGCGTGGCCAGAGAAGGGCAACGGAGCTGCTGGGGAAGGGTCTAGAGCCCAAGTGTGGGGAGGAGCAGCTGAGGGAGCTGGGGGTGCTGAGCCTGGAGCAAAGGAGGCTCAGGGGAGACCTTCTGGCTCTGCACAGCTCCTGACAGGAGCCTGGAGCCAAGGGGGGGGTCGGGCTCTGCTCCCAAGGAACAAGGGACAGGACAAGAAGAAATAGCTTCATATTGTGCCAGGAAAATTTAGGTTGGACATGAGGAAAGAATTCTTCCCCAAAAGGGTCATCAAAGCCTAGACTAGGCTGCCCAGGGCAGTGGTGGAGTCCCCATCCCTGGAGGGGTTTCCAAGCCATGGAGATGTGGGGTGAGGGACACGGGGCAGTGGGGACCTGGCAGGGCTGGGTTAACTGTTCAACTCAATGATCTTAAAGTTCTCTTCCAAGCAAAGTGATTCTGTCTGTGCTGCAAACATGCTGAGTGTTCCTGCTTCTCATATTGCCACGTGAAGCTCGTGGTCACCCGAGGGGACAATGGGCATGTGGGGTCCAAGGTACCAAGGAGAGGGGCGGGCAGCAGCTGCAGCCCACCCATGTGTGGCTCTCTCCTGCAGCAGAAGGAATCCAGAGAGCTGGGGCAGCATCACTTCTCTCTGGGTTGCTCTCACTCATGGGGCTCTGCAGCAGCCCTGGAGCCACAGCCCCACAGGGGTGGCCTGAGCCTCCTGCAGTGCCACAGCTCCAGCTGCCAGCCTCTGCCCACCCACAGCCTGGGTGCAGGGTTCCTGGGGATGATAAGTGCAGGGTTCCTGGGGATCCCGAGGGGATGCTGCTACAGGAGTCTGAGGTGGGCTGGGGTGGTTTGTGCCCCTGTCGAAGCTCAGCATCCAGTGACTGAAGAGTCTCCTGATCAAAACGGGCAAAGCTCTCACACTCTCTGTTCTTCAGAATGATTTGTTTTTAAAGTTAAAATAAAATATTTTATGTAAACCAAAACGTTCTAGGCACAAACCACCACAGCACATCTCAGCGAGTTCCAGAAAGGGGAAACTTTCCTTTTAAACTTGCAAGCTGGGACGATGCCAAACTCCATCAGCCTGCGAGTGCTGACTGCACATTCCCTCTGGAGCACGCAGGGACTTACCATGGCTAGATTTTCTTGTGTTACAAATTTTAATTTATTTTCCATTCGGCGTAAGGCATGTGACAGTTCTTCATTCTTCCTGCTAAGGCGTTTATTTTTGTCCAAAATGGGCTTGTACTGACTCTCAGCTTCTCTCAGACGTTTTAACTGAAAGATTAAGAGAGAATGAACACCTCCAGAGCTGCTCTTCTTCATCAAACATATTAGTACTTTCCTTCAGCTATCATTGTATCAGCGTTTTCTCCTAATGCAAAGCAGAACTGACCGAGTGCTCTGTCCAGCTCTGGAGTCCTCAGCACAAGAAAGAACTGCTGGAGCGGGGCCAGAGGAGCCCCAGCAATGCCCCGAGGGGGGAACCCCTCTGCTGGGAGCCCAGCAGGAGAGAGTTGGGCTGGGGCAGCTGAGAGGAGAAGGCTCCAGCTGGGGAGACCTGCTGGGGGCTGACAGGACTGCCAGGGGCCTGCCAGAAAGCTGGGGAGGGACTTCTGAGCAGGACCTGCTGGGACAGGAGAAGTACAGGATGATTTTCAACTAACAGAGGGAGATTCAGACTAGAGAGAAGGAAGAATGTTTGCTGCTGAGGGTGGTGAGCCCCTGGCCCAGGCTGCCCAGAGAGGTGGTCGCTGCCCCATCCCTGGCACCATCCCAGGGGAGGTTGGCCGGGGCTCTGAGCACCCTGCTCTAGCTGGGGATGTCCCTGTCCCTGCAGGGGGTTGGACTCAGTGACCTTTAAAGGTCCCTTCCCACACAAACCATATGACGATTCTATGAAGAACTCTTGATGTTTCAAGCCCGAGGCAGATTGCTCTTCCTTTATCATTGCTCAGTCTGTGCAAGAAGTGTGCCAGGTGGGGAACGTGTTTATTTTTAAAAAAAAAAAAGAAAAATATTTCCAGGTTATGCCATTTAAAAAAAAAAAAATTAATCATTATTTTATAGGCAAAAGCCAAGGTGATGTGGCACAGGACCAAATGCAGAGTGTAAGGAGGAGGCAGCTACTCCTGCAATGCTTTCCAAGTAGCACAGGAGGGTGTTCTGGGGCCAGGCATGGTCGCAGCAGCAGGTTCAGAAGTGGCCATCACCACTGCACTCACCAGCTCGTTCCTCTCCTCGGAGAGCAGCGCGTTCCGGTCCTCCAGCTTCCTGATGATGGCACTCAGCTCAGCGATCTTAAGCTGGAAACGCCGGGCATCCTTTTCATCCAACTGCTGTTCCTAAAACAAAGATCAACTGCAAATAACTGTTCATAAGTGTACGTGCAAGGTCAACGGTATTCAAAGCTCAAACTTTTTCTTATCCCAAATCCAAACCTCTAAAAACACAGTATGGCAGAGTAGGTACCCTGTGTGCCCTAACTGGCCACTGAAAGCTGCAGGATGAGACCAACAGAAAGTGTGGAGTGGAAATGTAACAAAGTATGCAAATGCAGAAGTGTGTATATGCAAATACAAAGTCACAGATGGTAAACTTGGAAATAGAAAAGAAAAGATCAAAAATTAGGCCATGTTTCCAATGTATGCCACTGTTGAACTGAGTGCTTCAGACACACCACCCGCTCCGAGGACTTTGTTGTAAGAAAATGATATTAAAAATACTGAAGTACAAATGGGGGAAATCCATGCAATTATACCATTGCATAAGCTCTTCTGCAGAGCTGTGGCCCTTAGGGGGTTCTAAAGGGCCACTCGCAAATCCAAAGGGGTAGCACTTGGTCTGAGTGAGGATGCTTAAATCAAATTATAAATGGATAGAGAGGTAGGTAGGCGTGTTCTCATTCAGAATCTATTTACCAATGTCACAGACCTTTTCCCCTTCTCTAGGACTTGTTTGGGTGTTTGGCAGAAGCTGAGTACAAATCGAAACAAGCAAATTACTGCCCAGGGTGCCAGAGGCACTTTTGGGAGGTCTATAGGGTTCCTCATTCAACAGGTGCAGGAGAGGCTTGGGACAAAGGATAAAATTGACTGGTTTGCTCATGTACAAGTGTTTACACTTCTACTGAGAAAATTAAGGTTGTCGCAAAAGAAATCTTGATGAGAATCAGCAATGAAGGAAATTTGCATATGTCAGATGCATGAGGTCAGTTAACGGAGGGGTTTTGGATATTAGCAAATTAAGGCAAAAGCGGAAGGGTGCCACAGTCACGCTGAAAAAGCCCTTGTGGAAGGGTGACTAAAATTCAGCGTTCTGGATATTGTGCTGTAGAAAAGCAAGAGCAGAGCAGGGGTTAGCCAGCGGGCACACGGGCTGGCTGCCCGGCCAGAAGCGAGCGCGTGGGGCAGCACGAGCCCCGAGGCAGCCGCGGTGTCTGGGGGGCCCGTGGGGCTCCCCGCGCTCTCCTGAGCCCACCACCTTCCCCCGTCCCCCTGTCAGCTGCCCCGGCACCTCTGCTCACAAGAGCCCTGGCTGGCAGTTCCAAGAGCTAGCACACATACATCACTCGGTTAGAAGTGCATTTGCATCATTTGTTGGCAAAAATTGTGTGAAATTAAGGCAGGTGGCAGAAGTATGGTACAGTGAGGAAAAGGAAGAGAAAAAGAACAGAAAAATTTCACCCTGCTGACAAAACCAAACCAACCAGAAAACAAAACGACAAAGGAGCAAAAGCTCTCCCATAACAGGGCTGGATTTTACATCTTCAAGGCTCGGCTAAGAAACAAGAGCAAGAAAGGGACGCCGCGGGGTCTCCCCGGTATGGGAAAGCTGTTGCTCGAGGGTGCACTCATCAAGATTCTGTCACTTTGTGCCACATTGTCACTCTCTGCTCGTTTGTTTAGGTGAAACCACGTGAAAGTGCTTACGGGGCTTCCCGAATGATCTGAAGCGTCTCCTGCACCACTTGCATAAGGAAGTTCCCGCTTGGGGCTGCTCAGATGCCGATCAGACTCTTTGATCTGGGAAAGTTGTTCATCTAAAGCCTCCTTTTGGAGCTGCAGTCTCTGAGCATGCCCGGCTTGAACCCCTAACTCTCTCTCCAGCACGTAGACTGCTCTGTCTTTAAACTTAATCTCCTCCATCTACAAGGAGAACAGAACACAATCACAGGCAGGCAGCGGCTCGACAACAACAGAGCATCTTAGACCCCCAGCACGGCCAGCGAACGGTTGTGTGGAGCCGAAGCCCCTCGACATGGGAAATACAGCAGTGCCCTCCTGGAAACACAACAGCAGCGGATATTTGACAGTCAGCACACAAACTGAATCATGAAACCAGCTCGGGAATATTAACTCTTCTTCTGGGGCCACACAGATTAAAATTGCTCTTTTTCAGCATGAATTTTTTCATTAAAATCATCAGGAAATAACCCATGTTCTCAGTACCATTTCAGAGTAGTTTTTTAAAAAAAATTAAAGCCAAATAGATCACACTTTGGATTAGTTCACTGCCACATTTCAATGATTTTGCAGAATTTTGCTTGGACATCACCTTTGGAAAGATTTGAGACAGAATGTAAAAGAAAAAAATTAAAACCTGAATATCTTTTTAACTTTCAAAATACAGAAGGAATGTGAATTTTAAAAATTATTTTTCCAAAAGTCTCCCATGGGAACAATTTGTTTAATTATTCCCTTTCTGTGAAAGGTTTTGCTTGTGCATAATAAACATCATGCAAAATCATTAAGTGCTTAAATGACAAACGTCAGCGGTCTCTAATTCTCCTCTTCCCTCTTTGCCAGCACCGTCCAGCTGAGTCCAGGGCTGTGCTCATTGCTGTTGGTTGGGTTGAACGTGCAGGTGCTCTGGGAATATTTTCTGGATACTTTTTTCCAAGTGCCAATGCAGAATTGGAGCCTCCATCCTGCCCGTGGGGCTGAGGCAGGTTTGATGTGCGGGTGGCTCTCGCCACGAGCCGGTGAACGTGCCGCGGCTCACGGCAGGATTGGACCCCCAGGGTCAGGCCAGGACAGAGGGTGCTGTGCCTAACGGTGAGCGATTACTGAGCACAGCCCGAGATGTTCTTTGGTGCCCCACTGCAGCAGCCTCTCGGGCTCTTCCCAGAGGGGCTGTCCCCACACATTATCCCTGCTCACCAAGCAGTGATTACTGCCCCGTGCTGCGGGCTGCCAGGCGTGCTGCCCGGGAAGGAGACCACGGGAAGAGAGGAATCAGACACAGCCCCTAAGTGTCTGAGGATTTGGTTTCAGACACCACACCTGCACAAGATTTTCAGCACACGGTTTTGAGATTTACATCTTTAATTCAAATGACTGGTATTTAAAATGTGTGCTGCTGGAAGCAAGAACATTTTGCCTTGTGAGCACTGTGGTGCTTTTATCTTTGCTAGTTTTAAGTTGGTAAACCTGGAAAAAAATAACATTGTGAATTAACAGATCACTCCAAGTACTTTGTTTCCAAGAACTGCAAAACCAGCCCGCCCAGGGAAAGA